GTGTGTGTGTGTGTGTGTGTGTGCGTGCGTGCGTGCGTGCGTGCGTGCGCGCGTGCGTGCGTGCGTGCGTGTGTGTGTGTGTGTGTGTGTGTGTGTGTGTGTGTGTGTGTGTGATAAAAACTGTTCAAAAATAAAAATATAGTATTTTCAATGTAATATAAATATATAAAAATTGAATTTAAAATATGCAAAATATTCATAAGCAAAAAAATTAATTTTGACTTTGTCAAAGTATTTATAACCGAGGAGTTATGCATGCGATGTCTTATGATATACCCTCAATCATGTGATAGTAGTATTTTCCACGTTGCTGACAGATCATTTACCTTCTCTCCTCGTTGCAGCAGAGTGCTGATAATACCTACATGGCCGCATCTTGCAGCCATATGAATGGGTCTGTCACCACGTTTGTTTGGCATGTGCAGATACACGCCCTTCTTGAAGAGCATAGTGACACATTCTGAGTGACCGTTTAGCGATGCTATGTGCATCAGAGTGGAGCCGTCTTTTGTCCTTTCGAAGACATTTGCTTTGAATTTATCGGCCAGCAGCTCGATAATGGTAGCATGACCGTTCTCCGCGGCCAAATGCATCGGCGTACGATCTTGGTGATCGGTGATCGAGGCAGAGGCTCTGACATCGTAAAGATATTTCACTAAAGTTTTGTCACCTTCGGCGCTCGCTATGTGTAACGCAGTTTGCCCATCACCCTGAAATATGTATAAAATTATATAGGTATTACGTAGTCTTACGTATATCTCTCGATAATATTGTATGGTATAAGTTTTGTTTAATAGTAAATTTTACCAGGTACATTTTTATTTTAATTTTCACATATTGGTAATACAATAAAATCGAGATTTTATTTTTTTTATTATATTTTATTTAAAAATGACTTTTTTTTTATTCAGTTAGTAATAAAAATATCTCTTTTTTCATCTCTTAATAAATATAACTCAACTTATATTGTTACCTTGTTTTTATATCATTTCTTAAATATACTGTATATACTGCAGATATTAAATAAAAACCTAAAGTCTTATTTATATTTATTAATCAATTCTTATCCTCTTGAGTTATGCATACACTTATCTTATAATTGTTTTTATAAATTTTTGCTTAATTAAAAGCCATTGGACATTGTTGCATAATAATAAAAACAGCATCGTAAAATTATAAGGGAAACGAGGGTACGATTAAAATTATCTTTAGAAAGTTTAAGACCTCATCGTAAATTTTACGACCGTCTCGTTTCTAATTGCTCATTTAAAAACATACATATAAGTTGCAGTTGCTACAATTTAACATGTGCGTCATTTCTGTTTCATGTACGATCGATCTTGTCATATTTTGTATTTTCCTTGCAGGTTCAAAATTGAAGTCAGAATAGAATTGTAGTGTACACGAGATTTAACGCTTTGCGTTATAATACAAATATATATGTACAAAATACCTTTGTAACCTGATTAAAATTCTATTGATTTTACCAGAAGTTAAACAGTACCATTATAGCACATGTTATGTCTCAAAAATTCGAAATTGTTTATTTACGCGTTGAAAAGATAAATAGTTAATTGGTTATTTCCGACTGGCATAACACTGTAGATAGGATAATTAAACGATTACATAGCTTACCAAAATGCGGACAAAAATGGTAAAGAATTCGCATTGTATTTACATCACAACGTAAGTATAATTTGCGAGTTTCGAAACATTCAGCGAAAATATACAATTGACAAAGTTTCAACAAAACATACCGTCTAATTATATTATTATTGGCTTATTCATCTAGAATCTTCGCGCTTAAAATTGAACGTACATTTTGCATGTTTACGGCCGCGCCATAATCCACGAGGATTTGCACCATGTCGATGTCCTTTCTTCTAGCGGCCAAATGCACGGCGGAATCACCGGCTGGCGTAGTGGCGTAAAGCTGATCTGATGCTTGATGTGCCAAAAGTTTCCGGCATATCGACTGATTGCCAGCCTCGATTGCTAGCAGAAGAGGTATCTTTCTTTTCTACAACAAAACATTAGATTTAAAAAAAATTGTAAGTTAGAACGATTCTTTCTCCAACTTTACTCATAATACTCATAATACGAGGATAATTACCTAACATAATGAAATAAAAAAATTAAAAGTTAAAAAATTTGTATAAATATGAGAGGAAAATCTTTTTCAATTTTTATTAATTATTTTATAAAAATATGGTTTATTTGAGTCATAAAATAAACTTTGTTTTCAAAAAATTCGCGAATCTGTGCGTTCTTTTTGCAATTTTACTGCTCAAGTAAAATATATTTCTCAAATTTTATAAATGTTAAATGCTTATATCATTTACAATAAATAAAGAAAATAAATTTACTATATTTACTACATTTCTTTACATTTTATAATTGATCAATTACAAAAAGTGCTAGGAAGTAGGAATAATCGTAAAGATGTTATATTTAAAGATACTAATATTTCGCATAAAGAAATCTTGATAGATATTATAACGTAATAGATATGATTGCGTCTATAGCTAATAAGAAGGTAAAAATTTAAGTTATAATAACTGCCCTTAAAACCAAGCTTAAAACCGCACAAGTCAAAATGAAAAGACATAAATAAAATATTTTTCACAGTTCTACATTTATGCCAAATTTGAATGATATTGGAGAGTTACACTTAGGTAGGTAGGTTTACTTGTTAGTAACTTGATTTAGCACAGATTGTAACCTGATTATTAGTTGTACCCGTTTCGTGACACGTGTCACCTTCACGGGTATTATTTAGGGCTGGTGATTTCCTTCGAAAGCTTCGACATTCGAATTTCGAACCTTCGAAGCTTCGAAGTTGGAAGGTCGAATCCTTCGAAGTTTTGAAGGTTTCGAAAGATTGGCATTGAAATCTTTGATATTTGAAGCTTCGAAACTTCGAAACTTCGATACTTTAAACTTTGAACCTCCGAAATTCAAAATTATACAATTATTAACTTAACACTTCTACCCATCCACCGATACACACACACACATTCGTATCCACACACACACACGCGCGCGCGCGCGCGCGGAAGCACACACACCCAATCACCCACTCACCCATCCACAGCTATTCATCCATCCACACTCAATCATCCATCTACACACGTCCACCCATCCGCAGACACACACACACACACGCGCGCGCGCGCGCGCACGCACATACACTTACCCACTCGCCACTTCACTTCAGCATATAAATATATATATGTATATA